CCAGCCATCTAGTAGTGGCAGTAATCTTGGAAAGCAAATTAGGGGGAGCCTAGAACTCGCACATCTAGAAGGACACTGCAAAAGTGAAGGCACAAAAACTGAGATTGGGGAAGACTTTGCTTTAATGGATTGAAAGACTGGAAGTGATGCAATGCACATTTCTAATATACAGGTCAAAGGGTGTACAGCTGCATGTCAACTGAACGTAATTTGCACATCAATTCATCTGCTCATCACTGCAACATGAGAACAGTTAAAAGGATTGAGCAGAAAATGACTGATTTACTGCCATTTAGGGAGGATTAACACACGCTGAACAATGTTTTGATATATGAATATGGATTTGCCATGTTAGTAAAAATCAGACTTAAAGTGTTACTAAACCCAGGGACCCTGCATTCACTATATCTGGTCTCCCACAGTAAAAAAAAGAACATGGAAATGCAATTATTTTAGTAAATTTAAACTGCTAAATACCTTTTCTCATCAGCAGTTAGAGCAGTCTTGTGACTTCTATCAGTGCCCAGCAGAGCACTGGTTAAAGCTTGTAGGAGGAGTTTTCATTCTCTCCTGATTGTCCTATGAGGCTGCATAATGCCTGACCCTTTGTCTGGACAGTGCTTATTTGCCCTGTGCTGATCACATGCACCCATCCAAAGGAGAAAAAAAAAAAAACAGCTAGCAATACACACTAAACTGAGCATGTGCAGCTTGTCCCCAAGGATCTGTTCTCTATCAGCAGATGAATTGGGGACAGTAGAAGAAGGGGCGGACCAGAGAAGACAGGATCAAACATTGTTTTTTACACAATGCGGAGGATTGACTCTTTAGGTTTTACAGTGAGCATAACAAGCATGTGTTACTGCATATACAGACTGATTTTACTGTTGTGAACAGTAAACAATTTAAGGCTTTAGAGAAAAACAATGCTAATGCTCCATGCACACTAGCGTTTTTGCAGGATAAAAAACACTGGTAGTAGTGTTTTAATAGCATTCAGAAGTGTTTAGGAGCGTTCGTGTTTTATTAGCGTTTCTTCAGTACAATTACAAAAAAAGAAAACAGCTGCAAGGAGTGTTTTAGTAGTGTTTTTTTCTGGTGGAAAACCGCTCTAAATAACTCTACAAAACAATTTTTGTTTCTGCTCCAAGATGCTGAAGCTCAAAAAATGCTATTAGCCCAAAGTAGTGTGCATGAACACATAAGGGAACACTATTTAGCGTCTTGGAGCAAAAAAGAAAAAAAAAAAAAATTGCCAATAGCTTCTTGGAGCTTAAAAAAAATACTAGTGTGCATGAATCTCCTAGATTGTAAGCTGCAATGAGCAGGGCTCTCCTATCCCTCTTGTATTGCACTGTATTGTCTCCCCTTATATTGTAAAGCGCTGAGCAAACTGCTGGCGCTATATAAATCCTGTATAATAAGAATAACTAGAAAAGCTACAATTTCCGGGGAAACTATGTGAAGTGTTCTTGTGTTCTTTTGTCAGCTCCCACTCTAGTTTTGAACATTCTGCCATTCATTCCTATGGGACCAATTTCACCACAAAAACGCTATGTAGTGAACCATTCGGCGAAACATTCCACAAAGTAATAGCACACCAATCAGGAACAATCCGCACGTTTCGGTATATTTACTGTCTATGTAGTGTAAACACTGTGGGAGGAGTTAGGGTGGTAAATTTGGCTATAATAATAAGAATATATACAGTGGGGATCGAAAGTTTGGGCACCCCAGCTAAAAATTTGTATTAATGTGCATAAAGAAGCCAAGGAAAGATGGAAAAATCTCCAAAAGGCATCAAATTACAGATTAGACATTCTTATAATATGCCAACAAAAGTTAGATTTTATTTCCATCATTTACACTTTCAAAATAACAGAAAACAAAAAAATGGCGTCTGCAAAAGTTTGGGCACCCTGCAGAATTTATAGCATGCACTGCCCCCTTTGCAAAGCTGAGACCTGCCAGTGTCATGGATTGTTCTCAATCATCGTCTAGGAAGACCAGGTGATGTCAATCTCAAAGGTTTTAAATGCCCAGACTCATCTGACCTTGCCCCAACAATCAGCACCATGGGTTCTTCTAAGCAGTTGTCTAGAAAACTGAAACTGAAAATAGTTGACGCTCACAAAGCTGGATAAAGCTATAAGAAGATAGCAAAGCGTTTTCAGATGTCAATATCCTCTGTTCGGAATGTAATTAAGAAATGGCAGTCATCAGGAACAGTGGAAGTTAAAGCAAGATCTGGAAGACCAAGAAAAATATCAGACAGAACAGCTCGCAGGATTGTGAGAAAAACAATTCAAAACCCACGTTTGACTGCACAATCCCTCCAGAAAGATCTGGCAGACACTGGAGTTGTAGTACACTATTCCACTATAAAGAGATACTTGTACAAATATGGTCTTCATGGAAGAGTCATCAGAAGAAAACCTCTTCTAAGTCCTCACCACAAAAATCATCGTTTGAACTTTGCAAATGAACATATAGACAAGCCTGATGCATTTTGGAAACAAGTTCTGTGGACCGATGAGGTTAAAATTGAACATTTTGGCCGGAATGAGCAAAGGTACGTTTGGAGAAGAAGGGGCACAGAATTTAATGAAAAGAACCTCTGTCCAACTGTTAAGCATGGGGTTGGATCAATCATGCTTTGGGGTTGTGTTGCAGCCAGTGGCACAGGGAACATCTCACGAGTAGAAGGAAAAATGGATTCAATAAAATTTCAGCAAATTTTGGATGGTAACTTGATGCCATCTGTGAAAAAGCTGAAGTTAAAGAGAGGATGGCTTCTACAAATGGATAATGATCCTAAACACACCTCGAAATCCACGGGGGATTACATCAAGAGGCGTAAACTGAAGGTTTTGCCATGGCCTTCACCATCTCCTGACCTCAACATAATTGAAAATCTATGGATAGACCTTAAAAGAGCAGTGCGTGACAGACAGCCCAGAAATCTCAAAGAACTGGAAGACTTTTGTAAGGAAGAATGGGCAAAGATACCTAAAACAAGAATTGAAAGACTCTTGGCTGGCTACAAAAAGTGTTTACAAGCTGTGATACTTGCCAAAGGGGGCAGTACAAGATATTAACTCTGCAGAGTGCCCAAACTTTTGCAGACGCCATTTTTTTGTTTTCTGTTATTTTGAAAGTGTAAATGATGGAAATAAAATCTAAATTTTGTTGACATATTATAAGAATGTCTAATCTGTAATTTGATGCCTTTTGGAGATTTTTCCATCTTTCCTTGGCTTCTTTATGCACATTAATACAAATTTTTAGCTGGGGTGCCCAAACTTTCGATCCCCACTGTATGTGAGACAACAGTAAGTGGTCTTGCCATGCAAGAACACTTAATGAAGCCTGACATAGGCAATTGTACGTGCTTGAAGAGAAGCACTTAAACATTTGACAGCTTTGGCAGCTGTTGGTTTGTGCAAGTTGGACACCTTTTGCCTCAAAGGCGAATGCAGGTTATCCTTGTGCCCTCTAATGTGCATGGAGTGTCAGTGACAGGGTCATACATTATATTTATATTAACCCCTGGCCAATGAGGGTTACTACATAGCCTCACAAAATACAAACACTGTCAAGATATTTAGGAACAATGGCTGCCAGCGTTGACCGGCGTGTTCTGGCACGGAGGGTCTGTCCCCCTGTTACAACTCAATAGCTCAGCAGGCAGATCACTGTACTAACATCGGATCCTTAGTACAGTGAGCTTCTCCTGAGCTCTTCAGTTTTTTTTTCGTTAAGCCGTTGGGTTGCATGAAAAAAAAAAAACCCTGATGGTGTGTACCCAGCTTTAGCCAAAAGAATAAAACTACTATTTCCAGTCAAATAATATATATTATAATTACTTGCGAACCACTGAGGTATGAGATAGTAATTAAATATATAGGTCAGCAGGCATCTATTCACATCCTCATATAAATGTGTTTTGTAGTAATATACAGTAAATTGATTATTGCCGCGCCCTAAATGTGAGATATGAATACTTCCAGAAATAATGAACAATCCAAGTCAACTTATTACAACTTCAAAATAAATCAATAATAGAATGTGAAAAAAAAACAAAAAATGTGAAAAAAATATAGTATAAGTAATTTAAATAATAAAAATTAATAGTGTCCAAAAAAAAAGTCTATATAAGTTCGATTAAAGTTGATAAGTCAAACAAGATTGCAGATGGATTCTTGCTGGAATATAGATACTTACTGTATTTTTCGCTTCATAAGACGCACTTTTTTCCCCCCAAAAAAGGGGGGAAAAATGTCAGTGCGTCTTATGGAGTGAATATGGAGCGGCCGGTCCGGTATTTCCACCGCCGCCGTGTCAGAATACCGGGCCGGCCGCTCAGCTTTGCAGCGGGACCTTACCTGTTCCTCTATCCAGCGGCGCGCTGTCTTCCCGGCTTCTGTAGTGTGCGTGACAGCCGGGTGCCAATGCACATGCGCAAGAAGTGGTGCTCTTTGTGAATGGTAAGGCGGTACCTGGGACACATGACAGATCCCAGAAGCCGTCGGACCAATCACAAAGCGCAGCGCTTCTCGCTCATGCGCACTGGGCATCCGGCTGTCCGCCGAGCGCCCACACTACAGAAGCCGGGAAGACAGCGCACGGCTGCTGGATAGAGGAACAGGTAAGATCAAAGAACAACTGCGGAAGTAAGAGCGGGTACCTGTCAAATTCAGGTACCCGCTCCCCCCCCCCCCCCAAAGGTCAGCAGTCATCTCCTGTACTGTCCGCAGTCTCTGGTCGTCTCCTGTACTGTGTCCGCAGTCTCTGGTCGTCTCCTGTACTGTGTCCGCAGTCTCTGGTCGTCTCCTGTACTGTGTCCGCAGTCTCTGGTCGTCTCCTGTACTGTGTCCGCAGTCTCTGGTCGTCTCCTGTACTGTGTCCGCAGTCTCTGGTCGTCTCCTGTACTGTGTCCGCAGTCTCTGGTCGTCTCCTGTACTGTGTCCGCAGTCTCTGGTCGTCTCCTGTACTGTGTCCGCAGTCTCTGGTCGTCTCCTGTACTGTGTCCGCAGTCTCTGGTCATCTCCTGTACTGTGTCCGCAGTCTCTGGTCGTCTCCTGTACTGTGTCCGCAGTCTCTGGTCGTCTCCTGTACTGTGTCCGCAGTCTCTGGTCGTCTCCTGTACTGTGTCCGCAGTCTCTGGTCGTCTCCTGTACTGTGTCCGCAGTCTCTGGTCGTCTCCCGCAGTCTCTGTACTGTGTCCGCAGTCTCTGGTCGTCTCCTGTACTGTGTCCGCAGTCTCTGGTCGTCTCCTGTACTGTGTCCGCAGTCTCTGGTCGTCTCCTGTACTGTGTCCGCAGTCTCTGGTCGTCTCCTGTACTGTGTCCGCAGTCTCTGGTCATCTCCTGTACTGTGTCCGCAGTCTCTGGTCATCTCCTGTACTGTGTCCGCAGTCTCTGGTCATCTCCTGTACTGTCCGCAGTCTCTGGTCATCTCCTGTACTGTCCTGTACCTTGATGGATATTTTTAGAGACTCCCTTGGATACTCCTGATGATTGATAATGGTTGATTGTGGGTCTGTGGGTTAGCTTTTTCTCATCAGTGCTCCATCTCCTTGTATTATTCCTCGTTAGTATAGTGCGAAAGAAAAAAAGGTACATGGTGCCTTATCGTTTTTTAAAAGAACAATTTTATTCACAACTTTTTCTTATGCACTCACAAGTATTCAGTATAAAAAGCGCTGAGTTAAAATCAGTAAAATCGCTAAATGCGTTTGTGACAGGTCTCCTGCGTGGATGCTCACACTCGCTCACAAAGACTATACTCGCCGTGAAGTCGGGTTGCTGTGGTGACATCAAAGCCCCTCCCCTACTTATACTATGATATTTTTTTCACTTTTTTTGTTTTTTTTTTTCACATTCTATTATTGATTTATTTTGAAGTTTTAATAAATTGACTTGGATTGTTCATTATTTCTGGAAGTATTCATATCTCACATTTAGGGCATGGCAATAATCAATTTACTATTTCCAATCAGTCAGGTAATATTCTAGCAATGATGAGATTGTATCAAGGCACACTTAGAACACAGTTATTACAGAGCCAATTTCCACTAAATGTAAAGTTGATTTGTACAACGCAGATTTACAGCTGCTATGTAGAAATTGCTAGAGTGCTGCTGTCTCTGGTGACATGGATACCGGTGAAAAGCATCTATTATTAGAATTCTGTAAGCTGTGTATTAGTTCATATTAAGAAATATCCATTGTTGTTTTAGTCCTAAAAAAACAAAATTAAAAACAATTCAAGACAAACTTACATGTTATACAAACCAAAGCAGCCCTCACACTCAGGTCCACCAATAGCGCCCAGCGGTCAGAAACCCTCAAAGTGGCAGTAGGGACTATAATTTCTGCAGCAACGTAGAACTGTAACGCAAATGTGATAAAGATCCCAAAGCAATACAGCAGTTTTACAGATTGGTATAGCCTGTGAGAGACAGAAAAAGTGAGTGAGCCTAGAATAACCAAAAAAAGTGCTTTTCAAATTAAATATTTTTTTCCATCAAAGTATTCATTATTGAAGAAGAACAAAGTATTGGAAGTTTTTTTGGAGTCTTACACAATAGAAAAAAGCAAAAATTTGACAACGTGGCATACAGTATAGGAAGGATTATAAAACAATCCTCAATCAACTTGTTAAAAATGTGGTTGGTGTAATATTCCAACATGACCTTGAAGTGGTAAAAGGTAAAATAAAAAAGGACATACATATATGATGCAGTCTGTCACTAGAATTAACAGAGCAGTCTGTTTTTGAGTCCCTCCTGTAACTCCTGTAGTTCTTTTACCTGGTGATCTAGCCATTGTTTTCCATTTGTGTTTAACAGACCACTCCGGATGCATTCCGCATACGTTTTTACATACAGTTCACACCACACGCAGTTCCGGTGCAGTTTTGATGTAGTTTGCCATGTTCCAGTACGGTTCTGTGCAGAAAAAAAAAATGCAGCATGTTCTACTTTTTTTTCTGCACTGGAAACTGACTGCACTAATGTGAACCAGGGCCATTGGAATAAATGGAAAACACTGTGCATGCAGTTTTGATGCAGAAAAAAAGCGTGCTGAACTGCATCTAGTGTGAACTAGCCCATAGGCTTTAATTAATTTAACTCATTTATGTAAATCCCTTCTAACACTGCCTCCTCCTGACAGTGCTGCTGTCCAAGGGTTGCTGTCCATAGATAGAGGAGCCACCCCAGGATAGGAAGTGTTACTGGCCAGATCACCAGGTGAAAATAAAAGGAAAAAAAAAAAAAAACAAACTAAAAATAGGAACTAATGCAGCCACATCTAAAAAACTGATAAAGTGCAATATATTACATTTTTGATTTTGGGATTTAGATAAACCTACAACAGTACAGCAGTATGATGCAGTAATGTCAGGAGAAAGAATGAAAGTGCAGTTTTGGTTGTAAGTGAGAGATACATATATAAAATACTGTATTTATAATTGAAGGATAACCGTTTTCCGTGTGATCTTTATTGTACTGAACTCAAAGTATTTGTGGACATAACGAGTGACAATGGGTCTAGATCTGCTATCTATACTGGGAGTTGGTGCTCCCAAGAGTCTACGTATAACTAGATTAGGGGTTGACCTTGCAAATGTAGAATAGAGTTCACTTTACCTATCCAAACATGGGTAGTTTGCGAGTTAACCAATGCCCAATTAAATTTTTTTTTTGCGCTCATCTTAGCCTGCACCAAATGTACGGGTTTGAGCATGCATTAATGTGTATGCATTTTAGATGCATTTGGGTGTGTTATACAATGTATTTTTAACCAGAGAAATGCAGCCCAGTACACTACCAATGCAGTAGGCAGAATCATTTGATACTCCTCAATTAAGCCCATTGGTGTCAAGTTTTAAAGTGATATTAAAAAGGTAGATTTAAAAAAAAGAGAGAAAAAAAAAAAAGACAAATACATGTTATACTTACCTGCTCTGTGAAGTGATAGTGCACAGGGTTGCCCCAATCCTCCTCTTCTCGGTTCCCCCACTGGCGCTTCTGGCCCCTGCCTCCTCCCGAGTGTCCTCACAGCTAACAGCTTGCTATGGGGGCACCTAGGCCAGCTGCTTTATCTGTCCATTCACACACAGGATGTGGCTCGGCCCCGTCCTGCCCCTATTCTCTCCTCATTGGCTCACTGGCTGTAATAGACAGTAGCAGAAGCCTGCTGCTGTTCCAGACAATGAGGGGAGAGATGCAGCTCTCCCGCACATCGCTGGATTGAGTTTAGACACAGGTAAGTATTGCACACAGAAGGGTTTTTACGTTCATCTTAAAGCATAGAATGAAGGTAATAAAAATTGAGCTTTATGTCCAAATTGAAGTTGGCCTTTAAAAGTGGTTGTAAAGACTCATCCCCCCCCCCCCCCTTCCTTTCCTTTTGATGTTTTAAAAGGTTTTTTTTTTTTTCTTAAAATATCTTCCTTTTTCAACTTTCATCTATGCCACATGGTCTCATTTCTTCTCTTTTTTTCTTTTAGAAGTGGACAGTGCTCATGTAATGACATGTGAATGTTCTTCTGTACAGCAGGACTATACGCCCAGGGTAGCATGACACAACCTCAAGGGAAGGTCCATGATGCCCTGGGCTCACAAGAAGCAAGTTGAATGACACTGGCCATCATTCATGCCAAAAGACAAACATCATAAGCAGAAAGGAGCACTAAGCCTTCAGGGGACAGCATAGGGGAGGAGGTATTAACGTGAAACTTGCATTTGTTTCTGTTTTAACAACTGCTGTGCATGTGTATTTTCCTTTTATTTATGTGGAACAAGGTTTAATGCATTTAACCTGTCCTGGAAAACACAGCAAAACTAGGACTCCTTGTGTGCAAGATCTGTAACTGCATAACCATTTAAGAAGGACTCAAAATAGAGAAAGCATAAGCTTTTATGTAGAAGGCCCATGAGTGCATTGTTTTTTTAACTGTACTATTTTACAGAAAGACAGATACAGAGATAGACAAGGTGTCCCCTAACTTACCAGCAATTTGGTAAATTCAGAGTTATGCTGGCCTGTATCATGGAGCCAAAGCGCAAGTACCCAAGGGTGCCCATGCTGATGTAAAGAACTGTGACAATAGCCATTCCAACATACAACACAATAGGAAATTGATGGGGGATCTTCATCTTATTCTCCAAAGGTAGGATCTGGAAAGGAAAAGAATTACTACATTACATGCCATACAGATTATAAAATGCTCTGGTTGTATTTTTTGATTTGAAGAAATTTAACAAAGCTGCTAAACATGTGATAATTTGAGATAACACATAACCTCTCAATTTGCCCCTAAACCACCGCACATTAACAACAGCACGGCTACAAAACAAAAAAAAAAAAAAAGATGGGACTGTGCAGAAAATATATATATATATTTTTTTGCTTGAAACATATAAAAACAACTATCTATACTTAGAATTTTAACACTTGACTTGTGCAGTCACCTGGCATAAGCCCAGACCAATGAGACAGATCCCTGTGTGCAAATGTTAAACTTCTGCCTCTAAAGTGCCAGCCCAGGGGTGTGGACAGAGATGATGATCTCTGCAGAGAAACAAACCCTGGGAGCTCCTCACCAATGTCAACTAAACAGAGTACCCATGAGAACCAATGCAACAATAACCCTGAAACAGCAAAACTATAGCAGACATGTTTTGGGGGCACAGCTCCATCATCAGATGACTCAACGGAACAGGTGTGTCCATTACAAGATTTCCCCTCCCCTGTTCCTGAGGCAATTTTAATATTTGGATATCCTATCGTTTTTGCATCATAGACAATGGTCACCAGGATAGAAAATGGTGAATCTACCCAAACAGACAGTATTATAAATCCTGACAGGGGTTCAAATGATTATCCACTCCATCCAAAACTAGAAGGAAAAAAAGTTTTGAATTTATAGATTGATTTTATATGAACTATAAAATTTATATGGAGTAATTTAATGTACTCTATAAAAAGACAATTTCTGGATTATTCATTAAAGTTATTAAAGGACTGCATGTACAGGAAACGAGATAACAGGTGGACTACACCTCTCATGTGCTTTTTAAAATATGATTTTTTTTAACTTTAATTAGGCCTTTGTAAAGATGTAACTGTGCCCTTTCCACTTTTTCCTACAAGCATGGAAAAGTAGATTTTTCAGAAAGTATTCACAGCGCTTAACTTTTGCCATATTTTGTTATGTTACAGCCTTATTCCAAAATGGATTAAATTAATTTTTTTCCCCTCAACGTTCTACAAACAATACCCCATAATGACAACATGAAAGAAGTCAGTTTTGAAATCTTTGCAATTTATTAAAAAAATCGAAAAAACCCATATGTACACAAGTATTCCCAGCCTTTGCTCAATACTTTGTTGAAGCACCTTTAGCACCAATTACAGCCTCAAGTCGTTTTGAGTATGATGCTACAAGCTTGGCACACCTATTTTTGGGCAATTTCTCCCATTCTTCTTTGCAGTACCTCTCAAGCTCTATTAGGTTGTATGGGGAGCGTCGGTGCACAGCCATTTTCAGATCTCTCCAGAGATGTTCAATCGGGTTCACGTCTGGGCCACTCCAGGACATTCACAGAGTTGGCCCATAGCCACTCCTTTGTTATGTGGCTGTGTGCTTAGGTTAATTGTCCTGTTGAAAGATGAACCGTCGCTCCCGGTCGAAGGTTCAGAGCACTTCGGAACAGGTTTTCATCAATGATGTCTCTGTACATTGCTGCATTCATCTTTCCTTCAATACTGATTAGTCTCCCAGTTCCTGCCGCTGAAATCCCCACAGCATGATGCTGCCACCACCATGCTTCACTGTATGGATGGCATTGGCCAGGTGGTGAGCAGTGCCTGGTTTCCTCCAGACATGACGCTTGGCATTCAAGCCAAAGAGTTCAATCTTTGTTTCATCAGACCAGAGAGTTTTGTTTCTCATGGTCTGAGAGTCCCTCAGGTGCCTTTTGGCAAACCCCAGGCGGGCTGCCATTTGCCTTTTACTGAGGAGTGGCTTCCGTCTGGCCACTCTACCATACAGATTGGTGGAGTTCTGCAGAGATGGTTGTTGTTCTCCTCTCGCCACAGAGAAACGCTGGACCTCTTTCAGAGTGTCCATCGGGCGCTTGGTTACCTCCCTTGCTAAGGCCCTTCTCCCTCGATCGCTCATGTTGGCTGGGCGGCCTGCTCTAGGAAGATTCCTGGTGGTTCCAAACTTCTTCCATTTACGGATGATGGAGGCCACTGTGCTCATTGGGACCATCAATGCTGCAGACATTTTTCTGTACCCTTCCCCAGATCTGTGATTTGATACAATCCTGTCTTGGAGGTCTATGGACAATTCCTTGGACTTCATGGTTTGGTTTGTGCTCTGACATGCATTGTTAACTGTGGGACCTTATATAGACAGGTTTATGCCTTTCCTAATCATGTCCACTCAACTGAATTTCCCACAGGTGGACTCCAATCAAGTTGTAGAAACATCTTAAGGATGATCAGTGGGAACAGGATGCACCAGAGCTCAATTTTGAGTGTCATGACAAAGGCTGTGAATACATGTACATGTGGGTTTTTTTTAAAATAAATTGCAAAGATTTCAAAATGAACTTCTTTCACATTGTCATTATGGGGTATTGTTTGTAGAATGTTGAGGAAAAAAAAATGAATTTAATCCATTTTGGAATAAGGCTGTAACAGAACAAAATGTGGCAAACGTTAAGTGCTGTGAATACTTTCTGGATTCAGTGTGTATGTATGTATGTATGTACACACACATATACACATACACACACATATATTATACACACACACATATATATACATACACATAGTGCACCTTTGTGCAGATTTGTCAGAGAACCTTTACTTTCCTTTCAGAATTAACATTTTCTATCGGACACTATACTAGAAAATACTCCCACAAATGTGGGCCATTGATTGCAAAAAAGATTTGGCAATTTGCACACACAACAAAGTATTTTTCAGAACAGACTCTTTCAAGACCATATTGCAAAAATGAATACACCCCAATGAAAGTCTTAGGAGCAAAGCTAAATTTTAGACAACAAAATCCTAACTAACAAGAATTCAACTACAGGTGAGTCTAATTTCATTAAACAGGAGTCCAGCAGACAGTTGATTATATAAGGGTGTTACTTAAAGGATAAGTTAATCTTTGGAACATGTTACATGTTCCACCAGCTTTTAGGGTGGAACATGTAGCATGTTTCCCTAGCCATGCTCACCGCTGACCCCTCCCTCTGACAGATAATATGGAGAAAAGTTTCCTCATAGTAGCTCTCAGATTTTAAAACAGCACGGCCGTGTGGGGCTCCAGCCACGTCACTCATTCACAGAGTTCTGTGAATGAGTGCCTACAAGTCCCAACAGCCTTAGTGGCTGTGGGCTTGTAGTTTTCAATGAACTACCACGGCTCTGTGGAGCACCAAGGTAGTTCACTGAAGCTTCCAGTAACAATATCTGCTTGACCGTACATCCCAATACGGCAAGCAGATATTCTAACAGGTCTGCAGGAGACCTACATGGCATCACCAATCTACTGATCGCTAGTGCAATGCTCTACAGGCTCCTTTGGACAAAAATAATAAATGCACATTTTTTTACCTGCAAAAAAAATGTGCATTTATTGTTTTTATCCAAAAGGTGAACTTCTCCTTTAACAAGGAAAACCCCTTTCCGTTTCATGCTGTTAGCAATGGCACCACATGGAAGAGAAAGAAAATAATTTCTTCACACAAGAAAGGTGAAGGCTACAAGAAGATCAGCAAAACTTTACTTATCCGTCATAAAAGTGATACAAAAATGTACAAAAGATGGAACTGCAACCATCTCACACAGATGTCCAGGCTGTCCAGGGAAGTTAACTCTTCAACAAGAGCATCTTCTGATGAGAAGGGTTGGAAAAAACTAAAATTTTACATTAAATTTACAATACCAAGAAAATTCCTACATGCGCATGAACCTGCACATTTATAACCTCCTCATTAAGCTACAATGAAATGTCAACCTCCAGTAAAGTCTTAAAACGCTGTTAAGCTCTATGCACAGAGGCCTATGACCTCCCAATTACAAGGCTGTTGCAATTAACATACAATTAGCTGTGCAGTTATGTATAGGTCATTAAATTGTATGTTTAGACATGAATTGCCTGAAACAATGACCTCTCAGAAGCCTTGGAGTGCTTTGGACTCTGCCACTGCGCCACGTGGAGAATTTCATCTCACCATCTTACAGGTTAACCTGCTTCACTCAGAATTGTTTGGTATAATCTGACATCAATATCCTTAATGTCCAACTGAACAGACAAGAAGCAGATGCTTCTATAACCTTTGTACAGATCAAATTTACAAATTGCAGTTATTATCCTTTAGCAAATCTTTAGTGAAAAGTGGTCATCACTATGAAGATTCTGTAATATGTCAAAGTATATATATGAAAAGAAACAGGCCACATTTCTTGTATGTTAACATTCCTTTTCTCTGTCCATCTAGTAGACAATATAATAAATCCAATTAAAGAAAGTAACATCAGGATAATCAAATGATGTCATTTGCACCAGATTATTATAACCAGAAGACCTTATAATGAATGTAATGAAGAATTATTACACAAGTTCTTTAATACTGTTGAATACCATCATAAAAGGCACCTTTATGCATATTAAAAATTTGAAAGTAGATGTATGCAGCCTTACTGTGAAGCAGCTTCAACCTCCTAGTATGGCCCTCGTACAAGTCTATGAGGGCTTAGAATACAAGGGGCGACCAGTGCCAAAAGAAGATTCCAGGCGAGCTGGAATAACCACTGCAGCAGGAAGCCTCACTACTACAGAGGTAAGAATGTAGGGTGGAGGATGTTATGGCAGGTTAGATCAGGTGGGGTAGGGGGAATTAAAAGTGTGATTTTAAGTATCTGAATTTAACTAAAATATCAATCCAAAAGGTCTTTTGGAATGGTTATGCCTGTTATTCAGATTGATGACATTTGACCATTAAATTTGTACTTGACAGATGGTTAGAGTTCATCTCACTATGTGTGTTTCTCTTCTTTACAAATGTCTTTTTTTTAATTCTTTATTTTAAAAAAAGGTATGCATCATAACAGACACATTGAAATTTACATCTATGAGGGTTAAAAGCCATCA